TGCCGAGATGGCTTATGAGAGTTTTGCCTTCCCTTAATATTTATGTAAATATTTATAAAGTTATTTAAGAAAAAGAAGAAAAAAGAAAAAGCTTTACTGCAAAAATATATTGATTTGGCCTCCTGAGCCCTTTTCTCCCCCCTTAAACTGTCTGCTGGTTTCAACTAGTTAATTTGTAAGGTCTGAAAAGGTGAGGAGATTATGAAAAGGTGCTCTTGTGTCTGTCTTGGGGGAAGCATTCAGTCCTCGTTTCTTACTAAGAATTGCATTAGATTTCCTTTTCTTCCCCCGGAGGTTGGATTGCTAGGTGGCTTAACTTAGCACACTATTTAATATTATAATTATGTCTTATTTATTTGAGATAATTGTCAAATATTGTGCCCTCGATGGAGGGCTACTCCCAACCAAAGGTGTTTGAGGTTTCTATAGAAACTGATGATTGAAGGGATGTCCTTTATACTTTTCTCCCCGTATTTGGGTTATTTCTGTGTCAGTAAGTTCTGTGTGTATCATTCACTCCATGTCCTAAAACCAGAAACAAAATCCTTCTGCACAGTTTATGAACTAGATTTTCTTTTCATTTACTGTACCACGTTTGAGAGTTTCTACTCGCTCTGCTCATTATTTAACTTAAAACGACCAGTTCAGAGTATAACCAACAAACAATTGAAGTGTTTAACAATATGGAAGGGAAGTTGTGAATTTACACTTCTGTAATATAAATAGCACACCAGAAGGTTCAATGATGGCACTGAAATTATGTAATGTTCTTTCTACTTTTGTCTTTTCCTATACTCCTTTGGATGTACAGTACTGTATCATATGCTAGACTGCATAAATACCCTGTAAATTAAGTGCTTCACTTCTCAAAGCATATGTCTGTTGCACTGAGGATGGAAATCCACCACCCACCAATTTTCTTTTGGCTAATGCTAAACCACTAAACGTTCATTCTCCAAGCAAGGATTTAATATACAGGGTTTGCACTACTGTAAAGAATATCCTTGTAACATTTGGGACTCCTTCCTCTCTTCGTTCTGTTCGCTGCAGTCGCAAATGGTTCCTCTAATAATGTTAAGTTCCAATATTTTTCTGACTTGATTGGAACGTGCTTCTCTATGAGGCTGTATATTTTTGTAATGAGTTTTGTACTTATTTTTAATGTTGTGGTCTCTGGTGGACTTTAATTTTCGTTGTTGTTTGATTGTTAATGTTTTTTCTATGACATTCTGTGTCGCTGTTCCAGCTGTCTTTTAGAATGGATGCTCTCGTTGTCTGGGTTATTGAATCACCTCTTAGATGTCTCTTTATGTCATGATAATAACAACTGCTGTCTTTGCAGCCTTATATTTGGGTGAAGCCTAGACAATCTGACTGGAAAAATAAACTTTCTTTATTCTAAGATAAAATATGAAGATTTTTCTTTCTTTCATCTTTATTATAGGGAATCTAAATTTTCTACTTTTCTCTTTCTCTTTCTCTTACTTTTCTTGGTGCTGGGCTCTTCCTTCCTCAGCGATGATACCTCCTAATATCGCTGCATGTATGAGAAATGACAAGCTCGGGGAGTCTTGCTTCTACCTTATGGGCCATAATCAAACTACGGTTTGTAGCTAAAATCACTATTAGGTGTTTTTGTGCTGTGGCCTAATTCCCTCACATTGCTTTCCGCTTCGCTATATTTTATATGTACAGCAATTCATTCCGAGCACCCTGCGTCCCCTGAATTGTAAGTACACCACAGGACACGTTTAAACCTCGCTTGTACCTTGTGTGATAGCCAGGTTGCCGCAAGCCACGTGCTTACAGCTACGGAAAAGCGGTGTGGGCCCCGGCTGCTGCCTGAAAAAAGCTAATAAGCAAAAATGCACACACGTGAGTCGCACACGAGTTTCACCTGGAAATCACAAAAATCATGACCTATGCACACACCGGTCCTCCCAAGCTAAGGAATGGAAATGCCATCAAACGGGAGATGCTTTGTGTGATGGCAGGAGGAATGAGCATGTAGAGTGTTTGGCTTGGGGGAGGGAAGACAAAAAGGAGAAAAACAGACTAAAGAAAAATAATCTGTCCCCAGAAGTGTTTGTGAGGGTTTTCAGTCATTGCCGTCAGGATAGTCCACCTCGAGGTGGGCGTCTCGGTGCGAGCGGCAGGAAGCCTGCAGGAAGCATAGCTAATCCCAGCTGAGCTGCCGTGCAGAAGTTACTTTAAAAAAGAAAACAATAGGCAAATAAAAACAATGCTCGCATTAAGTCAGTGCAGTTACTTTAATGTTTGCCATATCTATAATGAATCATTCATAAACATGTTACAAAAGTTGTGAGTAATTGTGGTTTAGCTGCAGCACAGGACTGGTTTCTAGTTTTGGGGTTGTTTTTTTTCTTCTGCTTTGCAGTTTGTCTTGCAGAGGTAGCTCAGCTGTATTTTACCTGAAATACTACATTAAAAATAATGAACTGGAGGTTAGGTCTTAATCAGAGTCATCCTACATATTACAATATCTTTCCATTGCTTTGATATGAAAAAATCATAACTTCTGTCATCGTTGTTCAAATCATTGTGGCAAAACCAAAATCTACCCTAGGACTTTTCATAACATGGTAGAACAAAGTGAGATTAAGTAATGTCTTAAATGAAATGGAAATTGTATGATTAGAGTCTAATTCTCACACCTTCAAAATGTTATTTTACAAGGTGAAAACTTAATTCTATTTTCTGTACATTTTCTGCTATTTGCAACAAGGCCTCCCACAGCTGGAAGGCAGTTCTTTGAAAAGACTTAAAAGAAAAAAATCGTTTCCTAAAGGCCCTCTTTATTGGAAACCGTTAAAAAAACAGCCAACAACCTGAACTACAATGTATTTTTTTCCACTGGAAAGAAAGCAGTGTAACCAAAACATTATGAATTGGGCTTGGGGAAAATGTAAAATGCCCCATGACCAGAAGAGCATAAAGATGATATCAGCTTGGACCAAAACACGGCTAACGAACAGAGCAGCACCAGTACTAACCTGTAACTCTCGTTGTTCGCAGTTAAATTAACAAAAGCTTCAGTTAGCCTTCGCTGACTGCTTTAACAGTTGTTTGTTTTTGTCACTAATGAAGTCTGAAGAGTGATAAGTGGTGTCACGGCGCCGCGGAAGGCATCGGTACCAAACGCTTTGCTGTTATTTTCTTTCAGACCCCAGCAGTGACAGGAACAGTCCCGCCACAGGTTCACAAAATGTATCGGAAATGAAACCCGTGCCATCCGACCGACGGCAGCACCCATCATTGGAGTCCAGTTATCCACCAGACCTTCACAAATCATCACAACATGGGGACAAGCGGACTTACGTTAGAGACCTAAAAGGCAGCAGAGAGTTTAGCAGACATCCCAATGAACACCACACTTGGAATGGGACTTCTAAAACCAACGACCACGTGCCAGGCAGGAGGATGGAGAGGTCGCCGGAAAGGAGGCACGAGAGGCAGCCGGAGAGGGTGGTGGTGAACGGGCAGAAGAGGAGGTCTCCTGAAAAGCGGAGGGAAGGGACGAGGAGCGCTGACAACACTTTGGAGAGGCGGGAGCGACACGAGAGGAGGAGAGACCTCTCCCCTGAGAGGCGCAGAGAGCGGTCGCCCAGCCGCCGCCGGCGGTCGCTGGAGAGACTCACGGAGCCAAGGAGGTCACCCGATCGGAGAAGAGAGAGTTCCCTTGACCGGCGGGCCAAGTCGTCCGACCGGCGGAGGGAGAGGTCACCCGACAGACGGCTCAGGGAGGAGCGAGTTGGCCACCGGGAGAGGGAAGACCCCAGCTGGAAGCATGAGCCAGGCCGCAGGCACCCACCCGAGCAGCGCAGGCGGCCGTACAAGGAGTGCAGCACCGACCTCAGCATCTGAGGGGCTACTCCGGGGGCCCCATCGCCTTCCCCACGCCACGGGAGCGGAGGAGAGAGTGCGGGAGCTGAAACCATCTGGCTTTCGCAGGCGAGGAGACATCCGGCACCTGCTGATCCTACAAATCTTTTATGCAGATGAAATCTTAAAACAAAACAAAACAAAGTGTTGTGCCTGATGTATAATATTAAAGAAAGTATTTTTCAGTGTATCCTTTTTTTTTTAATTACTTGCCAAGTGTTGGTCCTAAAGGATTATAAAATTTTGTTTCTACATTCTTTGTAGATTTCTTAAGAATAATTCCTTTATTGGGCTACTTTCCCCCCTCCCCAATATAGTAAATGGGGGTAGCCAGTAATATAATATAGGCAAAGGATTTTATGACCAAGTTTGAATAATTTGATCCAGACTGTTCTCTAGTGACTCACTGCTACACTGTATGTAGAAAATTTTTTAAGGGTTGGGGGTGGGGAAGGAAGAAAATTG